CTAAAATGTATTTTATATATTTTTGGCTTTTCCCTATTATTACATACACATGCACATGATTAATACACTTTGAGCCCCTGGTGAAAACTCATCCACTGCTCCTTTTCTATGTGAATTTGCTGATTCCTTCGTGAAGTCTCTCTGTGAGAGCTCCATACCTCACCTTTGCCGATACCTTGGTTGGCGACTTGCTCACCTGGTTTGGCTTTTTCCTGTTTCGATCTTTCCTTGCTTCACTGTCGCTTTTGCTGCCTACGTGTGCGACTATCTCTGTGTGATTCCTTGGGCGATTTCCTTTTTAGTTTTGAGTATGGTGCTTGGTTCCTTTTTGTGAAGTTGCTTTGTGTGTTATTGGGTTATTGATCTGACCCATATTCAATCCATTTTTGGTGCCAATCTTTGTGATGATTGAAAGGGAAGTGTTTGCTTTATATTCACGTATTAATTCCATTATTGTTATTAATTTCGAACTTACTTTGTGTTGGTTTGATTATTGAAGGTTGTAATTTTAGCTCACAAAAATATTATAATGAATATTGAATTTTCAGCAGACTATCATTCAAAGTTAGCAATACCTGAAACATTTCAAAAGAAAATATATTTTTATGGTTATTAAAAAGAGAGACAAATAGATCAACAAATGTTCCTACGTCCATTTACAAACCCTAAAATTAACCAAAAGGCTATGCTGACTAACTGGAAATATTTTAACAGGAGGAAGAAAACAAAATGGAGTCCAACTCTGCAAAATAAGTAAACAAACGCAAGTTATGAAAATTCCGATATAAATAATCTCTTTTTCCTCCATCTAAATTTTTCTTTTTCTTTCCATCACAAATCCAAAATCCTGACTTATTTCCCTTGGTAAAATCACCTTCAACCTATTAAAACAATCATCAAAATTCAAAAGTGTTAGTTTAACTAGGAAGAAAATTGATAGTGGAATATTATGACTTCTAGATGGTGGATTAGTTTGTTGCCTTAAACAAGCATACGTTGCTATCACTAAATATATATTGATTTACACGAATTTGACCATGGTCGACGTGGGTCTCTTTCTAACATTTTTCATAAATTCTTCCTATGACTCATTATTATATTAAGTAATGACCATGGACATTTTATCTCAACTATTATGTTTCACTTATCACATTTATGTTTTTTCTTCTTATCTACTCATAATTTTACTTCTGCCATATTATATATATATATATATATATATATATATATTTTCTTCTCATCTACTCATAATTTTACTTCTGCTACATTCTTCTTCATATGACATTCTATTCTTTCAAGCGTCGCACTCCATACCCTAAACAAAATATTTTTATAGTATATACATCTTAGTCTTTAACCTTATAAAAATCTTGGTTCTTTAAATGCACGAGATTCATATAGGACTTACTCAATTTCATGCAACAACCTTATACATTACATATATCTATATATATCCTTGGTAACAAAATAATATCACTAAACCGACTCACCTTGTAGATTGTCCACTGTCATCGTTCTACTTGCCTAAAGTATCTAAGCTTCAAAGTAATCTGAAAATTCTAACTCATGATTTACCTTTGATCGAAAAAGAATTTATGATTTAACTCTCTTTTTCCTTATCGACTAACTATGTTATCAAATTGAAGTACTTGGATAGATCCAAGTGCTTAGTAATTTAGTAAATTCTTTGCCAGATTATTTATTTATAAATTGTATTGAGGTCATCATTAACCCATTCGAGTTAATCATGAAATGAAAAGAAAGTTATAATTGGAGGGTAAAAAAATTAATTTTCCTAACTCCGAAGTGTGGGAATTGACATCTGAACTATTTCCTCACGTCTCAATTGCTTATTGAATAAACGAATTTCTTTAATTATATGTTAAAGAGAAAAGTAGATCTAAACATGTCTTTTAGTTTCCCCTTAGAGGTCACATTTTATGTCTCTCTAGTCACATAACACTGTCACCTTTCAACTATCGAGGATGAGAAATATGCAAAATTGGCCGCCTTTTTTTTTTTTTTTTTTTTTTGCATTCGTCATGATTTTCAGTGAAAAACAAAAGCACGTAAACTTAAATGATGATAGTTTTGAATTTTTCCATATATTGACTAGAACAGAATTCGTAATGTTTCATTAAAAGCTAGAAAGATACAACTAATCTACACAGTATTGCTTTTTAACCGAAAATATCACAGGCTCAAATTGCTTAATTGTAAAAAAAAAAAAAAACTCATTTATTAAAAGCGATGGCAGTTCACCGAACCAGGAAAAGAATGGGACATTGTTTTAAATTACTTTCTAAAATTGGGTCCCTTTTGTTCAAACGTGAGATTAGAGCCCAAAACTGATAACTTAATTGTTAAGTATTGAACATATTGAATGCTAGCATGAAACACTCTTTGATAATGAAATTTTCAACAGCTTAGTCACTAAATATTCGAATAAAAAATTTATTTGGGTTTTTAAGTGAGGCATAACTTGAGATATATATTATGTTACATGAAATAAAGACGACAAGATAGTACTACAAACTTTCGTAATACAATGAAACATTCTTAATGTTTGAGGTTCTTCACTTGTTCTTTTTGTCGTATGTAATGGTGTTAACGAGGCCTTTTTAACAAGGACTAACATGCAATGTTTAACAATTTCACTTTAAAATTTTGACCTAACTTTAAGGGGGATTTATTGTTTTAGGGCCTATTTGAGCCCCATTATATATATATATATATATATATATATATATATACAAATAGGCCCTAAAACAATAAATCCCCCTTAAAGTTAGGTCAAAATTTTAAAGTGAAATTGTTAAACATTGCATGTTAGTCCTTGTTAAAAAGGCCTCGTTAACACCATTACATACGACAAAAAGAACAAGTGAAGAACCTCAAACATTAAGAATGTTTCATTGTATTACGAAAGTTTGTAGTACTATCTTGTCGTCTTTATTTCATGTAACATAATATATATCTCAAGTTATGCCTCACTTAAAAACCCAAATAAATTTTTTATTCGAATATTTAGTGACTAAGCTGTTGAAAATTTCATTATCAAAGAGTGTTTCATGCTAGCATTCAATATGTTCAATACTTAATATATATATATATATATATATATATATATATATTCTTAAACAGTGATTTGACATCATTTCAATTACACATTTTTCAGTAAAATAATATTACGTGCAATCTCAAAACCTTTCATTATTTTTTAACCACATATTTTCTATCAATCTACTATTTCAAAATACATTCTTTAAAAGTAATGTGACTCAAACACGCACGTGTATTACATAAATAATATTATCAAATGCAATAGTTGATTTAGCCCTAAATATTTTAGCTTTAGGAAATATAATATAGAGAGTGTTTACATGAAAGCACATAATTTCATTGTTGTTTTTCTTGGTGGGGTTATTGTGTTCCCAGTCAAGGAAAACTCACAATTTAGATTGAAGTCAAAAGTGAAAAGCTCTAGAAGGCCACGCCTTGCATGGAGTTTGACCTTTGCTTAGTAGAATCAAGTAATGGGTTTCGATCGATCTGTTGTCTTATCTTTGCTATCTCTTCTCTTCAACTAGCATCTAACAAAATCATGATATAAGGTGTAATATCTCAAATTAAACCAGATATGAAACTATTAATCAGTTTTGGATTACTCATTTAACGAAATTGATCTTTCAAATCTTAATATAATATCAGAATCATTACGTTGCAACGAACAATTCAATTTGATTAAAAATTCAAAGCAGCACGCGATTTCAAAATTGATGTGATGAAACGAGTTACCATCTCATGGGGCTTGTAAAGGATAATATCCCTCATTGAGTAAATGCAAAATTTCTATCCAACATATAAGAGTTTTAATTACTTATATTAATGAAGTTGTCATTTTAAGATAAAATTCACACTAATTATAGTCTTTATATGTCAAAGTTTTAAAGATTGCACTTTAAGCCCCCATTTGGCCCTCATTTTTTGAAGTAAAAATAGGTTGAATAGTGATTTTTTTGAAAAATGAGTGATTGAAAAAAAGTAAAAATTTTCGATTTACGTGTAATATTATTTTATAGAAGATTGTGTGGTTGAAAATAGAAAAAAAAAATGAAATGTAATGTAATTTAATATAATGAGGACCAAACATGAGCTAAAATTATAATGAAATGTCAAGATTTTATTGTGCAGATAACAAAAAGTAGGACCCCACTTTGTTAAAAGAAGAATATTATGACATCATTCATAGGGTGGCTCTTTTTAAAAAGTTTTTCTAAAGAGAACGGATTTCTAATATACAATTAATGTGATCAGAGTGAATTCCGTGGAAGGATAATCTACCTAGATACTATATGATTACGCATCATTGGCCGGACCCCATTTTTAGGTAGAATATTTTTATTTTTTTTAAATGAGTGATTAAAAAAAATGAAAAAGTTTTTCGATTTATGATTAATATTATTTTATGAAAAACTGTATAGTTGAAAATAAAATAGAAAAAAATGAAATGGGGGCCGCACGCAGGCTTACAATTTTAAAATATGCATCATAAAACCTCTCCCCTTAATCATGAGGATAATTTAGTGCATATTTGTACCCTATTATTTGTTAGTAATGCATTATAGAATATCAATTGATATTGAAATAAGTGATCAAAATAGAAGGAAATTTTTTTGATTTATGAGCTTTTCCCAAATTCAAAACCAAAAGATTCTCAAAATCAAAATGAACATCCCACTAAACATTTTATAATCAAATTAGCGCAATCAAAAGCCAAATGTCAAACGAAGAAAACTTTGCTTTGCTTCTTGGCCAAGGAAATGCTTTCGGTTGCTTTTTGGAAAAAAATAATGGATCGGCCTAGCTGATTTAAAGGCCCACTGCGCCTTCATCTGAATCCTATTTCTTAGAAGCTTGTTTTTCTCGTACGAAACGACTGGCTGAAAAACGATTCACCGGAGGGGGGTAAGCCAATCTCCAGTGAAAAAAAAAAAAAAATGAAGATTGGTGTAGCCAAAGAGGAGAAGAGCTGCCGGAACCTCTCTACATACTTGAAAAATATGCCTCTTCTTGTTCTTGTTGCTGTTCTTCTTCACTTTTTGTCTGCTCCGTTTTTTCTGTCTTCCTCATTTACTTTGTTTGGTCCTTCTTCCTCTGTTTTATCTGCTGCTAATTCCTATTCGACTGTTTCACCTCACCTAGCTCCACTGCCAGATTTGTCTGTTTCAACTCACCCAGCTCCACCGCCAGCTCCCCCTCCACCACCGCCGCCATCGCCACCTCCTTCTCCGCCACCTCCTCCCGCTCCTCCATCGCCACCGCCGTCGCCACCTCCTGCCCCTTCTTCGTCCAGGTGGATTGACTGGATCGCACAGCCCTTGTCTAACGGGAAACACTGGATCGAGCAGTCTTCCTCTTGGTGTATAGACCAGATCGACCCGATTATTAATGTTTGCCACCGCATGAAGAATGTTTTGAATTATTTTCATGATCTACCTGTTTGAGCATGTTTGTATAAGCTTAAAGCATATTTGCCAGCGCCACGTGGATTGTTGAATGTTTATGGAGTTCTATTTGTAGTTTTATATAAAAATCGAATCTTGTTCTTGTTTTTCAAGTGGGTTAATTCGGAAGATATATTGATCAGATCCATAAAAAATACGATTGGAAAACTGAACTGATCCATAAAAGTATTGAATGAACAACGAAATGACTTTGGTAATGTACCCGGGCAAGAGCTATCAGCAATGGCAAACGAAAGTGTTCTAATGTGGTCTGCCACAACCGTACAAGCCATGTCAAGATTGTCCAAATGTCAAATGGGCCGAGCCGGCGAGCCGGCTCGTAGGTTGCTCAGGCTCGTCAAGCTCGAGCCGAGCGAGGGGTCGATTCCAACGAGCCGAGCCCGTTCGGCTCGTCGAGCTCAACGAGCGGCTCGTGGGCCGAGCTCACGAGCCGGCTCGTCCAAAAAGGTGGAAAAAATTGAAATTTTATCAATAAATATTGAAAAATTTGCAAAAAAAAATAATAAAAAATTCGAGAGCTCGCGAGCCGCTCGTCAGCTCAGCTCAGCCCGGCCCGGCCCACGAGCTCGTGGCTCGTGAGTACACGAGCTCGTGGGCCGAGCTCGGCTCGGCCCACAAGCACCGAGCCGAGCCCGAGCTCGGCTCGTGAAAAAACGAGCCACGAGCCGAGCCGAGCTCGTGGGTTAACGAGCCGAACCGGCTCGGCTCGGCCCGGCCCACTGCCACCCCTACCACTATAATTTAGCTCCAGCTGTTTACTAAAGGATTAAAAACTGCTCAGAATATAATAAATCGAGTACATAAGGTAACTTTAGCTCAGTGTTCAAAGAATAAATTTAATTTAGTTTCATGAATTTAGAAGTTTGAGATACATGTATTCATTTAATATGTACCTAGTGAAGTATGGTTCATGTATGCACATATTGGTAATTAATATGTACCTAGTGGAGTGTGGTGGATGTTGGAGAATTAAATTGAGGGGACGAACTTATGTGATAGAAAGCCCTATATGTACTTAATCTTGAGTTGAAGAAAAGTTCACAATTGAATAGATTTCCTCCTCATTGAGTTTTTTCTCCTAAGTCCACTTCTACTTCCCAAATTCAAGGCCCATAAGTTTTAAATCCATCAATGAATATAGCAGCCTAACCATGAAGATACAAAAATATCCAGTTTGCCATCAATAATTTAAGCACCTGCTATCACCGGACATCCACAATGCCCATTCACCATTGACGATTATTAGCACAGGTTGTTCGATTGTGCATACTCTTTGATTGTTGTGCCTTATTTAGTCAAACAAAAAAATTATATCTAACCCTCAATTGAGGGATAACTTACATATACAATTAAAGCATGTGTGCATTGCTTGTAAAATTTGTATTAGTGTCCACATTGGCCATAAATTAAGTTTTACCTTTCAAACAGAAAAAGGAGATCTCACTTACCATGAGAACTCAAGTAGAACTCAGAGCATTCAAAACCCAAGTTGGACATAGAAGTGATCTCATCATGCCTGTCAAAGAATTGATCATCTGTTTCACCGCAGCCACTCATCTTTGTTGAATTCAAGTATTAAACATGCATAAACCTACATTTAAAACCAACACATATATTATTTTTCAGTTTTACATGTAACCAATTTAGATTATTTAAAAAAAAAAAAAAAAAAAACCTTCATAGTTTAACAAACAATTATTAATCAAACAAAATAGAACAGAGAATAATCATTAAATTATCAAACTCCCAAACAAAAATAAATATATAAAAAAACACCCAAAACCCCACATGAAACTTAATTGTTCACATTTCGGCACAGTAAAATGAAAAAAATACAACACAGTACAGATCAAAATCCAAAAGCATAGATCTTACAAGAAGTAAAAACAAATGATCAAATAAATAACACAATCTTCAAATCAAAATATAAACTCCAGCAAGTTTGAGTTTGGACCGGTGGTGGTCGAAGAGTGCTCTCCCTACTGCGTGAAGCGCCTTCTCTGCACAGTGCGGAGAGAGCATTTGCTCTTGTATGGCTAGAGTTTGATTCATTTTGGTTTCACTAAATATTAATATATTTATTCATTTGTAAGCACTTTTGTTAAAAAAAATTCTATCTTTTCCAATAGTTCTCATTAAAAAAAAAAAAAAAAGGGTTATGTTATAAAAAATGTCATATTTTAAGACAAAATAATCATCTATCTTAATAAATGAATTCCGACTAAATAGTTTCAAAGGATTAATCAATTAACTTGAACAAATCCATAACCTGCTTCCATTTGTCTACTCTCATTTATGCATTTAACAAAAAGCGGTCCAGCACAGTCTCCGCACTGCGCAGAGATGGGTCTCAGCCCAGTGCGAAGAGTAACCCCGTGCATCACGGAGACCACATATGCGTAGTTCTTTGCCCACCCCGTATTTAAATCCTAAATTAATTTTCAAATTCCATCGATTAATTTTAGACCAAAAAAAAATGGAAATTAATTGACTTACATAAAAACCAACTGATCAACCCCGTCCAATGTATAATTTAGGACTGCAACTTCGAGATTTCAGTTTTTTGAATTTTTGGAAAGAAGAAAGAAGGGAAGGGAAAGAAGACGAAGAAGAAGAGTAGGAGTGGTAGATTGAGTGAAAAAAATGGAGAAAAGAAGACAAGGGAAAGAAGACGAACAACAAGAGTATTAGGAATGGTAAATTGAATGTGAAAGATATCCATAAATTGATTGAAATTGACTTACTTTTCATCTCTTCTCTTTCATATATCATGTTAATGGATTATTCAATGTGTTTAAGCTTATAAAAAACCAGCCCAAGGAAAAGATGATGCAATCTGATGGACCAAATCACAGAACATAAAAGAAACAAAATAGCTGGACCTACTATATCTACATTAAAAGCCTAGTTAAAAAGGTCATGCAAGTTTAACAGTGTTGATGGCCATAAAACCAGCAAGCAGAGTCTTATCTCAAGAACTTCTTGTTCTAGTATTCGACCTTCAATGCCTTAACGGCCACTCAAATAGGCTAGATACTGTATAAGCATTTTAGTAGTTTCAGTCTTACCAGCACCACTTTCTCCACCGACCAATAGAGTTACTTTTTCCCTCATTGATTGTTGCCCTCGTTTGTTTCCATCAACTTAGTATAGTAAGCCTGATCTTGTTTACAGAAGAGTAGTGCAGAAAGACTATACAACATAGAAACACCTGAAAGCAACATCAGCAGTGGCAAACATGTGGGGGCTCTGTTCACCAAATGGCGCACCCTTGGATTGTTCCATCATGTTGCCATCATACAAGTGAGGCAGTCTTTGAAATGGATTGATGGCAATAAGAATGCTTCCGGTTTATGACATAATTTAAGAGCATACTATTATGATAAGAGTTACCCATAGCTGCGGTAACTAATGTTGTCTCTTTCTGGGTTGAACATAGATTAAACAAGAATTTAGATTGAATGTTACAATTTTAGAATCTTACATACATTTCATTAAGCTGGTATCTCGATGCCTAGTTCGGTGGGACCCCTGGTTCGTGCAAATAAGATAGTTTGGTCATGTCATCAACTCCACCAACATGGGCATCCTCATCTTTAGGATATATTGTCGCTAAATTAGCTACAACCTTAATAAGTTGGAAAAACACAACAAAAAAATATAAGTGAAAATTGAAGAATGACTCAGGCCAGAAACTTGCAACTGCAAAGAAAAAAATTTATATTATGATATACCTATATTAACCCAAACTCAAAACATTTTAGCAATGTGTTAAAACTGTAAATAAGAAGAAAAGAATGTATTTGTCCATAAATAGAAAAAACAACAGAGAGACAGTCCAATGTAAGTTTTTCTCTTCTTGTGTGAATAAAATAACAAGAAGAAATACAGAGCGAGGAAGAAATAGCTGAACCTACTTTCAAAAAAAGGGCATGTGCAGTAGTACAATTTTATGGCAATCACTGCCCAAACCCCAAAAATAATAGTCATGAAAAGTAAGTGGCATGGTCAATGCTGAGTGCAAAGTAAGTCCATTGAACAGTAAAACTTGAGGCTTAGTTTTTGTATTAATTTCTTTTAGATTTTTAAGAGAATAAAAGGCAAACATAGACTATCTCAATACAATAAATATTACCCCAAGTATACCAGGATTACTAACTTAAGTTTGAGTCTAGTTTTACAAACAGAGTTGTTTGATGCAAAAAACTTTAGTTCCCCTGAATCCCATTGGATGTTTGGACCTCAACTTCGTGTACATTTATTTTCGTTACTTGTCCATCGATCCAAGCAAAATCTGGGTCTTCAACCCAAATATGAGAACCTACAATGATATAAACTGGCGTGCCCTGCATTGGGAGTTCACGAGGTTTTCAGAAAGTAAGCATATGAAATGTTAATAATATATGATTTACTCTTAGTTCAACTCATTAAATCTCATTATGGTCGGAGTCGAAGCTCTTTCGCCGATGTGATAATTTTGCAAACAAACACCCTAATCTGATAATGAGACATAAAATAATCTAATGAGGAAAATCAGCTTGTTGTACCCAAAACATAAAAAAATAATATGAGATGGCAGCAATGGCATGACAACACTCACCAGCTGAACATATAACCTGAATGCACATCAAGACAATAACACTGGGATTTATAGACCAGGAATATGTAAGCTCAACACACCTTATGCTCCACTTACAGATCAGTGGCTTTGTGAAAACTATCTCAATTCCAAGCACCAAAGGTTGAAACGAAGAAAATGAAACACTTACAAGTGTGTTATATGCCACCACAACTTGAAGATAACAATTATACCAAGTGATACATTTTCCATGGTATTAAATCGGTAAGAAAGATTCACAAAAAGAAGAAATTACCAAACTTTTTCCTTGTGAAATATTATATTCTGCAAGTGATTGAGATCCTCGTCAAGAATGTAAACTCATCCTCTGTATTGTAATGAAAATCAGAGATAAGATATCTCAAAAAACCATAGCATGCCTTGAGGAAACCCAATATAACATGAGATGCTGAAGTTAAAGGAGGTTTCAAAGCAAAAACAGTTGCTTGAATCTTCATGAAAAAATTATGTCATGAGGAAGACTTTTTTTCTAGTCAACATTCGACACAAAATTGATATAGAAGCACCAATTTGCTTTGTTGATGATGTGCCAATACCTATAATGGCATCTCATAACCAGCTAGTGACCTCTAGGAACAAGTTAATTTTCTAGGCAAAGCAGAAACAATATAATTAGCCAAACAATTGAATATCGATAGTCAAGCATGCTAAAACAAGACGAGATAACCATCAAATTGTTGCATTTGCACAATATCATCTAATACACAGTTGTACAATACTATTTTTTATATAAAAAACTCTCACATATGAACGGGAATTTAAATTACGAAAGTACGTGTATAAGGCATAATTATAGGGCATAATTATAGGAATTCCTAATTAGCTACCTTCCTAATATAACTCCTAATATACATATGTATCTTTACCTATTATTATTAGAATGAAAGGATATTTTTTGCTCTCTTAACATCATGGTATCAGAGCTTATTTAGTGATTTCTCGTGGGATTGAGTCTGGCTTACTTGGGTTATTTGTTTTCGGCTTTCCTAATTCGGGTTCTTGTGCTCTTAATCCGGTGAGTAGAGGCTGTCAAGATCCCATCTAACTTCGGATTTTAAGGCGGCGGGCTTTGTGAAAGCTTCAGTGGTTGACGGAAGTTGCAGAATCTCGACGTTATCGGTGTTGTCAGGCAACCTGTGGTGTGCGGTAGGGGGTAATTTTTAGTTTGGGAAAGTGAACTTTAAGCAAAAAAATTTGTTTATCACCAACATGGCTTTTTATTGAAATATCGTTAAGTAGTTTATATAATTATAAAGATAGAATTTTGGGAAAGTGAACTTTAAGCAAAAAAATTTGTTTATCACCAACATGGCTTTTTATTGAAATATCGTTAAGTAGTTTATATAATTATAAAGATAGAATTTTGGGAAAGTGAACTTTAAGCAAAAAAATTTGTTTATCACCAACATGGCTTTTTATTGAAATATCGTTAAGTAGTTTATATAATTATAAAGATAGAATTTTGGGAAAGTGAACTTTAAGCAAAAAAATTTGTTTATCACCAACATGGCTTTTTATTGAAATATCGTTAAGTAGTTTATATAATTATAAAGATAGAATTTTGTTTCAAAAGACAAAAATGTCCTTAAGTTACAAATTAAAAAATCAAATACTTTTCACTTTATATTTAATTATTTATTTTAAACAATTATTCAAATTTAAAAAATTAATATTAAATTTACTTTCTTGTTTAAATATTTCATTAATTAATTATCTTAGTCGGTAATGTATATTATTTATTTAATATTTATTTTCTTTATATAATTATTTATTTAATCACTTGCTTAATTAAAAAAATTAATATTTAATTTGATTTCTCATTTAAATATTTTATTAATTTATTATCTTAATTGATTATGTATATTTAATAAATTATTTAATTATTTATTTTAAACACTTATTCAAATAAAAAATTAATATTTAATTTTGATCTCTCTTTTAAACATTTCATTAATTAATTATCTTAATTGGCCCTTATTTAATTATTTATTTTAAACACCTACTCAAATAAAAAAATTAATATTTAATTTGGTTTCTCGTTTAAATATTTCTCTCTTAATTATCTTAATTGGATATGTATATTATTTATTTAATATTTAATTACTGTATTCAAATGATCACTTATTTAAATGAAAAAATAATATTTATTTTAATGTCTTATTTAAATATTTATTTAATTAATTGTGTTAATTAGTTATGTATGTTATTTATTTATTGTTTAATTACTTTGTTTAATTATTTATTTAATCACTTAACTAAATAAAAAATTAATATTTAATTTAATTTCTTATTTAGATATTTCATTAATTAATTATCTTAATTGGTTTTATGTAGTTAAAATTTAATTACTTTATTTAATCACTTATTTAAATAAAAGAATTAGTATTTATTTCAATTTCTTATTTAAATATTTCATTAATTAATTATCTTAGTTAATTATGTATATTCTTTATTTAATATTTAATTACTTTGTTTATTTATTTATTTAATTGCTCAATTAAATAAAAAATTTATATTTAATTTAATTTCTTATTTAGATATTTCATTTATAAATTATCTTAATTAATTGTGTATATTATGTATTTAATATTCCATTACCTTATTTAATTATTATTTTAATCACTTATTTGAATAAAAAATTAATTTTTAAATATTAATTAATTATTTAAATATTTCAGTAATTAATTATCTTAATTGGTTATGTATATTATTAGTCATTAATATTTAATTACTTTATTTTAATTGCTTGTTTAAATAAAAACATTACACCATAATGTACAATTGCCATAATATTATTGGAGAGTTGAAAAACAGTTTTTTCGATCCCTTACTCATAAAATTTCACATATACATTATGGACATTCTTATAAATTAGTATATGTAGAATTATCCAATTTTGAATTTGATTTCTCGTTTAAATATTTCTTTATTAATTATCTTAATTGGTTATGTATATTTAATTACTTTCTTCAATTATTTATTTTAAAACCTATTCAAATAAAAATTAATATTTAATTTAATTTCTTCTTTAAATATTTCATTAATTAATTATCTTAATTGGTTATGTACATTGTTTATTTAATATTTCTTTACTTTAATTAATTATTTATTTAATCACTTATTCAAATACAAAATTAATACTAAATTTAATTTATTCTTTAAATATCAAATTAATTAATTATCTTAATTAGTTACATATATTATTTATTTAATATTTGACTAGAACATAAATCACATGATGTATGAGAATATCTAACAGAGATGGAAGTCGAATATTAGGCACGATCACATTTTCAAGACATCGAACATTATTCAATAATGCCGAAAATATATTTCTTCGACTAAATGAAGTCAAGTGGAAAGTTCTCGATTATAGTATGTTACTCTCTACCCAACGGATGTGTAATATCTATTTAAATCGTATGTACTCTCTATTTATAGTATATTATTGGTTTCCTCAATTTTCTCTATGTATAGTATGTTATTGATTACGTGAAAATTGACCCGACGAATATGTAATATCTATTTAAATTATATGTACTCTCTATTTATAATATGTCACTGATTTCCTCAATTTTTTTTATTTATAGTGTGTTATATATGTAATTAAGAGTAATTTGTTATTTATTATACAATTACATAAAAACTAAAGTATTATAAACGTTTTTAAAAAAATGCTTACGTTTTAAATTATTACAACTATGTATCACAATGTAAATATTAAAAAAAAAAGCTTACATTTTAATGTGTGTTTGGTTTATCAGCTCTACGTCACGTCTAATGCTAAAAATTCAATATATTTCAATTTGATCCGAATCCGACGAAATTAATGGGAGATGGATTTAGGGTTTTAATCCGATAACCCAAGCAAGATTCAAATTCGATAATCCGCTAACTAAATAAATCAAATATGGATATAGATCGATCCGATCCGATCCGATATCACTAAAACATTCCAAAAGGATGAAATATATATCTATAAGAGACTTCTTTCAAAATATAAATATGTTTATATTCTTCAACTAAAATTCTTTTTACTATATTTTCTCTTATTTCAACAGGTAAGTTTTTAAAAATTCTTAAAATTTCTAAAATTTCAATTAAGTCTTTACTATATGTTCCTACTATGTTGTCTTCTTCAAAACAACCACAAATATCTATACTATATTTTACTTGATAAGTTAATCTTTGGTTATTTTTTAAGCCTGTAAGTTCTAAAATCATAAACTCTTTTGTTGTCCTAATCTACTTCCTTTTTTGCTCTAATACAAAAAGACAGTTTGATTATTTAGACTTAGATATAAGAAATGCCAGTAAAAAATTACAAACAGTAGATAATAATATAATAAAGTGTAATTTAGAAAATAAGCATAAATTACGTAGTTTATTTTCAGAAGATCCAAACCAAAATTGTTTAATAGACTTAATCATAAATTTATCAAAAAATTTAGAATTAGAAAATAAAAAGAAAATTAATTATTTAGAAATTATAAAAGAAAATATTATTGTTAGAGATCAAGAAATAAGAAATATAAAAGAATCTTTAGATTATATTAAAAATCAAAATTCAAGTATTTTAGAAAAACTTGTTAAACTAGAAAAAATACCATCTAAAGTAGATTTAACTGAAATAAAAATAATTTTAGATTCTAATAAATCTAAAGAAATAGAAATAGAATCTACATCAAGTGTAGAAAAAGATTTAAAAGTTTTGACAAATACATTAGAAATTTTAAGTTTTAGAGAAACAGGAAAAGAAAGAGTGACTAGAAGATTACCTAAAAAGTATAAATTTCCAAGATGAATACAAATCATTTCCTAGGAAGATCTTGAACAATAAATAAAGAAGCATCAACATCTAGAAATAGTACTTCAAGTATAAGCAGAAACATAATAGAAAGAGTTTTAAATAGACCAGTACAATATAATCAAAATATAGAAGAAATTATAGATCCTCAACAAGATTATTTAAGATTTCAAACTAATGGATTAAGAATTCTTAACCCAGAAATATTATATAATAGAGGAATTTTTAAGACAAGGACACAATTTTTTAGACATAGTAGAGAAGTATCTGTTCAGTGTATAGGAAATCAAGTAAGAAAATTAAATTTAATATCAGAAGATTCTAAAAGAGAGTTAAAAAAGAAAAATTTTAAATTCGAGCATTTAGGATTAATAGTTATAGGAATAAAAGGATTAATGAGAAAAAATTTAGGATGTAAAGTTTTAGTTACTATATATGATGAAAGAATTAATAATAAAGATAAAAGTATGATTGCTAGTACAGAAGTTGATATGAATAATAATAATGGAATAATTTATTGTAACCCAGATTTTTTATTAACTATTAAAGATTTTTCAGAAAAAATTAAAATAGGAATTCAAACAAAATGATATGAAGAAGTAGAAAGTGGAGATAATTTATTAATTAGTATAGGGTTTTTAGGAAGATGTTCAAATAATTCCCAAACAAAATATAAAATTTATATAGATAAAGTTGTAAATTTAATGAGTAGTAAAGGAATTAATATGGTTAAACCTAAAGAACATTCATCAGATCAATTGGCAAGATTAGAATGGGACATGGATAAATTTTTAGAAAATCAAGAAACAATTATAGCACCTCAAGAAGCATTAACTTATAAAGATATTCATAGAAGAACAAGTTTAAGATTTTTAAATTATAATCAAGTACAAAGACAGAATGATTTTGAAGAAGAAACTAATCCTGAAGAAGAACATAATGAACCATTTCAAAATCAAGTTCATTTAGAATTAATGGATGAAGAATTAGATAAAATAATTTATCCAAAAGAATTAGGAATGAATTTAGATAATAAAGAATTATTAGAACTTGAAGATCAAATGTATCTTAATAAGATTATAACAGAATCTGAATATTTATATTATGATCAAGAACAAAATATAAGAATAGGAATTATTAAAAAAGACAATAATTCAGAAAATTCAGATTTAGAACTTATAGAAGATTCTAATACATAAAGAACTTTTAGTGATACTCTTTTTGATAAAACAATCAAACATGAAGCAATAGTTTATGGTGGAGGATTCCCCCTAAGAGGAGCTTATCCTTTATATAATAATACAGAAGGAAAATATATAGAAAGAGGAAGTGAAAGACCCCTAGAAAAGAAAATAGAATTCCAATCAAATCATAAAGCACAAATTTTAAATATTAC